GCTCCTTTGATGTCTCCTTGTTGTTGTTATGTACCGTCGAGTCGGACCTGACTCATAGCGACCCCTCTTTGGGTTTCCGAGGTGGTATCACTACAGAGGTAGATTGCCCAACCTTCCTTCCAAGGAGTGGCTGGTGGGTTTGAACTGCTAGCCTTCTGGTTAGCAGTCAAGTGCCTTAGGCACTACATGTCTCCTTGTGTTGTTGTTGTTGTTTGCCATTGAGTCAGACCGGACTCATAGCGACCCCTCCTTGGGTTTCCGAGGCAGTATCACTATGGAAGTAGATTGCCCAATCTTTCTTCTGAGGAGTGGCTGGTGGGTTTGAACTACCAGCCTTCTGGTTAGCAGTCAAATGCCTTAGGCACTATGCTATCAGAGCTCCTACATGTCTCCTTAGCACATATTAAATAGATTCCCAAATCTCAGACTACCTTTATCAAGCCAGTGTCTCTCAGTGGGAGTGTATTGGCATTGTGGGTGGAGTTGTAAATTCCAGAGCATTAAGCATCCTTGAACTTTGCCCATCCAGTGCCATCCGTGCTTATAAAATCCACTAGAGTAAATGTATGGTGAGGACGTAGGTATTGTCTATGCACTGTGCTTTTCCAAGTGCCTAAAGCGGTGCCTTATACCATTTTAGTGTTGTTGAATGAATTGTGACAATGAAAAAACTCCCCTCAGGTGGAACCCTTCCAGAGGGCGCTATTATCTCCAGTTGAGAATTCCTGATGAGTGATGGTTTACTTTGGTCTAACTGTATCAATTATTGGAAATTTATTACTGCAAAAGACAGTCCATTCTGTGGTAACTTATTGTCATAAAAAGCCACCCTTCTCTCCTCTTGGACCATGGCCAGTTGGTTAACATATCGTGTAAAGTCTGACACCCAGAATGGAACAGGGTGTGTGGCCTGACCCTGCAGAGAACAATGGGATTGGTACCTCCCCACCCTGGATAGATAGATATGGCCTTGACACCGCCTGAGATTGTATTTACTTTTCTTCATGCATCCACCCTAATGTTTGCTGGTTCATGGTCAGCTAAAACCCAAAGACGTTCCCCTTAGATATTATACCAGTCTTTTCCAATCGAAAATGTAAAAACTCATTGCCAGCTAGTTGATTCTGATTTATGGTGGCCTCGTTAAGAGTAGAACTGATCCATAGCATCTTGTTGGCTGTAATCTTTGTGTCTTCCATGCTACCTCTGGGTGGGTTCAAACTAACAGTAATCAAACACAAACCATTTTCACCAATGAGGGACTTACCCAAAGTGTAGAATATGAAATTTGAAACTACGTCCATATCTTGTTAGTTTTGGCCCATTGTTGCAGTCCAAATGATTTTGAGTCTTCATACACTGTTAGCTATCTTCCCATGCCATACCTATCTCCAATATTACATTGTCTGCACATTTGATTGGTAAGCCATTGATGTCCTCACTGTGTTGTTGATTAAAATATTGAAGAGGCCAGGCTTTTGGCAATATAATAGAGACTCCAGTTAAGACTGATAATGATCAGTACTCCTTGAGGTTGTTTGTCTTTGAATGGACCCAGTTAATTCTAACTCCACCCCACAGTTCTTTCTTGTCCACATAAATATCTTCAAGCCCATCAGTAAGCTGCCTTGCTGAAATCTAGATTGACTTTATTCCACAAAACTTCAAGGCTTTGCAACCCCACTGGAAAAGGAGATCCATTTAGCTGAGCATGACTTGTTCTTGGTGAACACATGCTAGCTTCTAGTGCCCACCACTTGCTTTTCTGAATGTTCCAAATATTTTGTTATCCTCCTTTGGAAGTTTGCAAGAGTTGGGTTTGCTTTCCAAGTTTCTAGAATCTACCCTTTCCTTTTTTGTGAAAATATGACCACTTGTCTCCTGACATCTTTTCCTGTTGTCCAGGATTCCATAAAGAGGACCAGCAGTAGTGCTGCAGTCTCACCCCTAGGTTCTTTCTCTGGGCAGTGATGCAGTCAGTGCCTGGGTAAAGTGTTCCTGTATGATCTTTCCATCTAACTTGGGCACAGACCCTAACAATTAGGATTTACCCGTGGCAGCTGAAGATTGATATTGGTGATACTAAAGGTGGAAGCCGAAGGGGAGTGAGTGGTTCTGCGTCATCTGCCATCTGTTTAACATTAACAGACAGGGCGCTCGGACTTATTGATTCTCTTGCTTTGAACATAGATTTAGTTTTTTTTTTTTAACCTCTGGATGGTTGTTAGCGTGTGTTTGAGCTCTCCTGTTGGCCTGTTGATATCTAAATGTCTTCTGGTTATTTCATATTTAAGTGGCTTGCCCAGCTAGATAGTGAGCTCTCTGTGGACAAGGCACATCTTGGGCAGAGTTGAATCCAACCTTCTTCTCTTTCTACTTTCACATACTCCACAGCCTTCAGAGAAGTGCTCTTGAAATGCCAAGAGGAAGCAGGGGAATGAGTGGTGGGGCCTGTCAGACACACATGTCATCATGGAAAATTCTTTATAAGAGTATGCATATCCATTTACACAGGCCCCACTGCTGCTTCTACAAACTGCACATTCCTGCAGAACAACCCACCCTTTTCCTTTTTTCCCACCAAATGTCAGTCATGCTTTGGGTGGGTGAGAAATACTGTTTTCTGTCTCCCTCCCATTTCCATCGCTCACTCCTCTGTTCTTCTCCTTCGGTCCTTTTGTTGGATTTTTATAGGGAATATGGCTGAGTTTCTGGTCTCTGAACTTGGATGCCCCAGCCTGGGGTCCTCCTGGAGACAGGATGCCAGGTTTAGAAGTCAACCCCAGCCCTTTCTTGTGGGGCTTCTGCGGTTCAGGCTCCTAGCAGCCTCTAAGTTCCACTAGTAGATTGGGATGAATGGCAGGCAGAGCTGAAGGATGGAGTAGAAACAGGGTCTGGCCACATGAAACAGGTTTGGCAACAGTTTGTGTCCTATGAAGGAGCCACGGTGGTGCAGTGGTTAAGCATGCAGCTGGTAACTGAAAGGTCAGTGGTTTGAACCCAACTGATAGGGAGTGTTCCCTGGGGCTGATAAAGCCTCTCCTGGGGCCTCCCAGTGGACTCTACCAGGTGGCCTTTTACCTGCTGCCCATAGTCCCTAGGAGCTTATTGGGACTGATAACATGACTTTGAATTACCTGGAAATACACATGCCACCTTCCAATGATCTGTCTCTGCTTAGCCCAGAGCAGAGAGAGAAAGGGATCCAAGGAAGAGAGGGAAAGGGAGGCTACAGGAGGAGAGAGTAGGTTAGAGTCCTAGGCATGGGGCAAAGGAGGACCAACCAGTTTATTTTTAAGGCTTCAGAAGACAAATCCAAGAGGTCACTGAGCTGACCTTAACAGATAACCTGATAGTGGTGATAAAGGGTATATGGGAGTCCTTCCCAGGGCAACCTCCACCCCCCCAAAAAAAAACCCACCTTATTTTTGTTGTTGAGAATATAGACAGCAGAACATACACCAGTTCAACAGTTTCTACATGTATAATTCAATGACCTTGATTACATTCTTCAAGTTATGCAACAATTCTCACCCTCCTTTTCCAAGTTGTTCCTTTCCTGTTAACTCCCTAAGTTTCTTACCTAATCTTTCGAGTTGCTGTTGTCAGTTTGGTCCCATATAGATAGGTCTTAAAAGAGCCCAATGTTCAAGGCAGATATTCTTTCCTTAACTAAAAGCTAAACTATTGTTTGATTTAAAGACTTAAGGAGATATTTTTACTTTAATGTTTCAGGTTTAAAGATTATCTCAGGGCAATTATTTTGGAATTTCATCCAGCCTCAGTGGCTCCAGAAAGTCTGGACTCCATGAATTTTAGGATCTGTTCAGCATATTCCCCCTTTTGATCAGAAATCTTCTGTAGAAACTTTGATCATAAAGTTCAGTAATGGTAGCCAAGATCATCTACTTCTTCCAGAGCAAACTTGAACAGGCTGCTAGGTGGGGGCATATGGTTATATGGGTTTTCCAATGTGTTTGTGTCACACTTCGGGTGGGGGGGAAATGGTTGGAGGAGGCAGAGGGCCACTCTGAGTCCAGGTATATCACCCCTGCAGAATAGCTAGTGCTGTGGTTCTTAGTATTGTCTGGGGACCAGTAGCATTAGCATCACCTTGGAACTTGTTGGGAATGCCAGGTCTTGGGGCCCAGCAGTCAGCTGTTAACCCTCCAGGTGATTCTGGTATATGCTAATGCTAGTAAGCCTGAGAAACAATAGCTCAGTGATTAAGTGGATAGACTCTGGCTGCCAGATTGCTTGGGTGTGCATCCTCACCAGCTGTGTAACCTCAGGCAAATCACTTAACCTCTCTGATCCTCTATGTTGTCAACTATAAAAGAGACAATAACTACCACCCTGTTATTATGATGATTAAGTGAGAACACTTGTAAGCAGTTTAATACAGTGCTACCACTTAGAAAACATCTGTTAGTTTGGCTCAGAACTGACATTCATTTTCTGTTTCTTTCTTTATTTTATTGTGCTTTAGGTACAAGTTTACAGAGCAGAGTTTATTTTACATTCAACATTTCATGTACATTTGGTTTCACTCCCCAGTTACTGTCCCCAACCCTAACCCACTCTCCTCCCCTCCCTGCCCCTGCCATGCTCCTCATAGTTATGTACTCCTCTGTGTCCTACATTTCCTCCATGCGAATGTTGCCCCTCTGGTTCCCTGTGGTCGATTGTTCCAAGGGATGCATCTCCATAGAGTATGTGGGTACGTCACCCTGGGTTGAGTGGTCTGCATGTACTGTTTACTGTTGGGCCAAGAGTGAGCCCCTGGGAGTGAGTTTTATTCCAGGCCCAAAGTGTATCCCAGGACCATAGCATTGGGGGTCCCACCAGAATCCATCCAACCAGTAATTCTGGTCCTTATTGTGTTTTTGGATTTTGTTCCACGTTTTTCCTCTCCCTCTATCCAGTTTTGATCCTTTCCCAAGTGGTTGGCATTGGTAGCCGGGCACCTTCTAGTTCTGGTCTTCATTCTCTGTTTCTAGGTAGTATCTGATGCTGCAGGACAGGGAGTGGCCATCACAGGGAACCAGACCTTCAACAACTGGAACTGGCCCAACGCAGTCATTTTCGCAGCCACAGTCATCACCACCATCGGTAAGTTTGTCTGGTCTGTGTCTGTCAGGTGGCTTTGCTCCTTTAAGGCTCACATTATGGCCAGAGTCCCCCTAATAGCGCTCCTAGGACCCTCAGGATACCCATTAGTCCTGTCCTAACTCCAAAGAACATCATAGGGGCCTAGCTGTGGCCACTCAGACTTATGGATTAAAGTCAGGCAAATTGTCATCAGTCATTTTGACACTTCTCTGGGATTTAGTAAATCCTTGGTGACTGGCCATGCCTGGAAGACTGTTTCTATGAGTCTAGAAACAGAGACACAACCAAGGCCGCTGCAGGAGGTGGAACAGATTGCTCATTGCATAAACCCCACCCATACTTGCTTACCAAGCTAGGTATCTTATTATAGTTATCTTAAGAAACCACCCCAGAAGTTAGTTGCCTAAAACAACAATTGATTATTCTTTTTCCCATTCTGTGGGTTGACTGGCTTCCACTGGTCAGTTCTTGCTCAGGCCTCTCATGTGGTCAAGTGGCAGCTGGGACTACAGTTATGTGAAAGCCCAGCTGGCTGGATATCCAGATTCTTCAGTCACATGTCTGACAGTTGATGCTGGCTGTTGGCTGAGATCTCATCTGGGAATGAAAATTACAGTGCCTCCACAGGGCCTCCATGCGTGGCTTGAGCATCTCACAGTAAGGCGGCTGGGTTCCAAGAGGGAGGATTCCACGAGCAAGCATTTCAAAAGATCAAGGGAGAAGCAGCAAGATTTCTTAGACCTAACCTTCACAGCCTCATTTCTGCTACATCTATTGGTCAGGCAAGCCATTAAAGCCAACCTAGATTCAAAGGGAGGGGCTGAGACTCCACCTTGATGTGCACAGCAGTGTGCATGCGTCAGAAGGGAAGGTGCTTAGAACAGCCATCTTGGAAATCCTCTACTGCAGGGCATTTTTGTGCAATGGTGCCATATGGACTAGTGCAAAACCTAATGAGAGAGGCATAATCCCTGCCCTTAGGGAGCTCCCAGTCCGCTGGAGGAACCACAGTCCATGCATCATAATTGCAACAAATGATCATATGATCACAGTGTGCTCAAGGGAAATGGCATTACTTAAGTATGGCTTGGAGTCCTTGGGGTAGTGCAAATGGTTAATGCACTCAGCTGCTAACTGATTGGTTGTGTGTTTGAGTCCACCCAGAGGCACCTTGGAAGGAAAGCCTAGTAGCAATCAGCCGTTGGAAACCCTATAGAGCACAGTTGACTCACATGGGGTTGCCATGCATTAGAGTCAACTTGATGGTGACTGGTGTGGTATATGTAAGTGTGACTTAGAGAATGGTCTCCCTTGAGCTGAGTGTGGGGAGGGCAGTTAGAGGAGGCAGAGGGCCACTCATTCCGGGTACATTACCACTGTAGTGGCTCTGTTCTCATTCCCACCCACCTCACTTTATTTCTTTCCTACAAAGACCCTTCTTTTTGGCCTCACTTTCTCCCTCCTCTTTCCTCAGGCTATGGCAACGTGGCCCCCAAGACCCCCGCTGGACGCCTCTTCTGCATTTTCTATGGTCTCTTCGGGGTGCCACTCTGCCTGACATGGATCAGCGCCCTGGGCAAGTTCTTTGGGGGACGTGCCAAAAGACTTGGCCAGTTCCTCACCAAGAGAGGTGTGAGCCTGGTATGTCCACTACCCTAGGCAGTGGGTAGAGATAGGGGGGCTGGGGCTGGTGATGGGTGGAATAGGAAGGATCTAAGAGTTGGTCAGGGGTGTTAGGGAGGGCAGCACGAGGGCAGTTTCTAGACCCCCAGCCCTCCTGTATCAGGCTGAAAGCACCCCCCCCCCTTTTCTGAGTATCACCCCGGCTGGGCTTCTCTAGTGTCTACCCTGTTGTCTGATTTGGCCTCCTTGCCCCCACCAGCGGAAAGCACAGATCACATGCACAGCCATCTTCATTGTGTGGGGCGTCCTGGTCCACCTGGTGATCCCGCCCTTTGTCTTCATGGTGACGGAGGAGTGGGACTACATCGAAGGTCTCTACTACTCCTTCATTACCATCTCCACCATTGGTTTCGGTGACTTCGTGGCTGGTGAGTCCCTGCCCTCTCCCCGTTCCTTTGCCTCTCACCTCCTTGTTTCTGCTTCTCCTCTCCAATTCCAATTCAGCTGCTGTTTACTGGGGACCCCAGTAGATGTTCATTGTTCTAGATACTCCCCCCCAGTGGGATCTGCATCCCACCCTGCCAGTTGCAAGGGGAAACTGAGGCATAGGAATGGCAAAAGAATCTTTTTTCTGTAACTCGCTTTCTTGAATGTGGCTTTTCCCATCCTCCCCTCTTTTCACTCCTGTATGTGGAGCTTTAGTCAATCTTCTGCCTACGGCATTTGTAGGTGTTTTCCATGAGCCAAGCCAGGTCCCTTGCCTGTCACAGAGCACCTTCCATCCTTCTAGAGCCTGTCCTCTGCAGGCTTGGCTCAGAGATCCGAAACTTTGCTCTTGCCACAGGCAGTTTAAAGACAAGGAAGGCCTTCTCCCAAGCTGCCCTGCCCCCTTCACCCCAACACTCCCTCCCACTCCTCCCTACATAATCCAGGGAGACGATAAGATTCTTTGGCCCTTTGTCTGACCACCTGCAGCCTGCCCTAGCCACTTGTGCCTGTGGCCTGCATAGCATCTTGGCTTTTACTCTTCTAGACACCCCATTTGGCTGCACTGATCTAGCCTTTGTTCCCTCCAAGCCTGCTGCCCTGCCCATTTGACCTCCTCCTCTCTTCCAGGGACCTCTAGTCCCTGCCACCCTCCCCTTTGGGGCCAGGAAGAGGTCACTACCCTTCTGCCTTGGTGCAAGGAATGCTGGGAGGGGATGGCTGAGTAGGTGGGAGGAGCAGGAAAGAGGCACTCCACTGAGCCTGGCAAATCTAGGCCTGCTCTCCTGAGAGATAAATTTAGTCCCAGGCACAAGCCTGCCATTGTCTAGTCCTTGGGGCCCAGAGTAGGGTAAGGAGACACATTTTGTGTTGGGGGGAATATAGTAGTGTATTTAATGATGTCATCCTAGCTCCAGTAAGACACCACACTTCTGTGCCTCAGTTTCCTCATCTATAAAATTGTTCAAAATAATAGAACCGACCTCACAGGATGGTAGAAAATTAAATGAGTTACTATTTATTTTAGTTTTTTCATGCTGCAATAACAGGAAAGTTGGGCAGTCTGCTTCCGTAGTGATACTGCCTTGGAAACCCAAGGAGGGGTCACTATGAGTCGGGTCTGACTAGATGGCACATAACAACAACAACAACATAACAGAACTACTACAAGTAGGTGGCTTTAAACGAAAAACCAAACTCACTGCTGTTGAGTCAAATCTAACTCATAGCAACCCCTCCTTGGGTTTCTGAGTCAGGATCTCTACTAAAGTAGATTGCCCAATCTTCCTTCCCAGGAGTGGCTGATGGGTTTGAACCACCAGCCTTCTGGTTAGCAGTTAGATGCCTTAGGCATTGTGCCAGAACAGAAGCTTATTTTCTCACAGTGGAGGAGGCTAGAAGCCCGAACCTAGAACACCAGCTCTAGGGGAAGGCTCTCTCTGTCACCTCTAGGGGAAAATCCTTCTGCTTCTCTAGCGTTCTTCTTGTAAGTGCTCCTTGGAGATGTCCACTTGACATTTTATCTTCCCCTGTTGCTTCTGTGCATAATCTTCTTTCCTAGCTCAAAAGTGGTTGGCTTTAAACAAACCCTGTACCCATATGGTCTCATTAACATAACAAAGAAAACTCTATTCCCTGTTGGGATTATATCTACAAATATGTTGTTGTTATGTCCCAGCGAGTGGGACGGACTCATAGTGACCCCTCCTTGGATTGCTGAGGCAGTATCACTGCAGAAATAGATTGCTCAACCTTCCTTCTAAGAAGTGGCTGGTGGGTTTGAACTGCCAGCCTTCTGGTTAGCGGTCAGAGGGGTTAGGATTTACAACACATATTTTGTGGGGACATAATTCAATACATTACACTCTTCATGAGTGGTGAGGGTAGGGTCTGTCGTTATCACACTCTGCTGATGATCACCTCTCAGATCACCTCCAGTCTGAGGGAAGAGAAACAGTCTTTGCATTTGAGGAACCTCTAATCTGATGAAGATATAGTCCATTCCGAGTGTGAGGGAAGAGATAGGATACAGATTACAAAAGACGTAATGATGAAAATCAACATGCCTGTAAGTGTAAAATTAAAAAAGAAAACTCAAATAATCCTAGAGTGTAGAAAAGCAGTCGGCCATGTTGAGGGTTAACCTGACAAGGCTCCCTGAAGCAGGCCTCAGGAGCCCGGCTGTGGAGGAGAGGAATGGAGAGTGGGCAGGGCCCTCTAGGCCTAGAGGGGAGAAGGCAGAAACAGGAAGTCAAGGAGGCAGACCAGACCTTTGAGAAGAAAAAGGCAGTTCTCAGTATTTCCTGTCAGGACCAGTGCTGGCTTCATAGATAATCTTGGTCTTTCTGCCTCCATCTTGGTGGCTTTTCCTATCGGGGAACTCCCCTTCCCAGAGGCAAGCAGAAGGAAAGAAGGGGCACCTGCCACAATGGTTGCTCACTCCCCATTTACTGATGGAGTCTTGATAGAAACCAGCCCTAATTGTGGACTCCACCGAGAAGTGCCTGGCGGGGGGTGGAGGGAGTGAGAAAGTCAGCTGCCCCAGTCACCAGCCTCATATTAAACCAGAGTCCATCTCCAGCTCTGAGCATGTCTCCAGTATCCCCTCACTTGATTTCCATCCTGCTTTTTAACTGATATGTAACAAAAAAGTGTACAAAACAGATAAGGTGCAGTATATTTTTTGAGTGCATGTTGATTGTATTACCAACCCCCAAGAAAACCTTCCTTAGTATTCCTCTCCTTGTTCCCAGGGGTAACCACTCTCTTGACTTTTTTAGTTGGGGAAACAGGCTCAGAGACAGATTAGGGTCTGGGGTAGGGGCACAAGTGTCTAGGGCAAGGTCCTTCAGGATGCTGGGGGTAGTCCTGGGTCTAGAACAGGCCTCCTTCCCCTCGCTGCATCCCTTTTCTGTGTTCTGTCTCTATTACACCCACTTTTGGATAACACAGCTTTGGCCTTTGTGTGTTTCTGGGTCCCTGTTGACCCTTTCATGACCCTCTGGCCTTTCTGTCCTCCTGTAGGTGTGAACCCTGAGGCCAACTACCACGCTCTCTATCGGTACTTTGTGGAGCTCTGGATCTATCTGGGGCTGGCCTGGCTGTCCCTCTTTGTCAACTGGAAGGTCAGCATGTTTGTGGAAGTCCACAAAGCCATTAAGAAGCGGCGGCGACGGCGGAAGGAGTCCTTTGAGAGCTCCCCACACTCCAAAAAGACCCTGCAGATGACAGGGAATGCGGCCTCTAAGGATGTCAACATCTTCAGCTTTCTCTCCAAAAAGGAGGAGACCTACAATGACCTCATCAAGCAGATTGGGAAGAAGGCAATGAAGACGAGCGGGGGTGGGGAAAGGGTCCCGGGGCCCGGACCAGGGCTGGGACCTCCAGGGGGTGGGCTACCAGCCCTCCCTGCCTCCTTGGCCCCGCTGGTGATCTACTCCAAGAACCGCGTGCCCAGCTTAGAAGAGGTGTCACAGACACTCAGGAGCAAAGGCCATGTGTCAAGGCCCTCCAGTGAGGAGGCTGGGGCGGGCTGCCCGATGGATGGCTCCCCAACCCCTGAGGTGTTTATAAACCAGCTGGACCGAATCAGTGAAGAGGGCGAGCTGTGGGATGCCCAGGACTACCACCCACTCATATTCCAGAATGCCAATATCACCTTTGTGAGTGAGGAGGCTGGCCTCTCAGACGAGGAGACTTCTAAATCTTCACTGGAAGACAACCTGGCTGTGGAGGAGCAGCCCCAGGAGGAGGCTGAGGCTGAGGCGCCCCTGCACCTAGGCGAGTTCCACTCCTCAGACGAGTCAACCTTCACCAGCACCGAGTCTGAGCTCTCTGTGCCTTACGAACAGCTTATGAACGAGTACAATAAGGCAAACAGCCCCAAAGGCACATGAGGCAGGCCCGGCTCCCCACCCCACAGTTGATGGCTTCTTCCCCCTCACCCTGGGGTGTCCTTTGATGGCTGGGACCCCGGCCCCTGGTGGGGGGACAGCCTTGAAACTGGGAGTGGGGGGCCAGGGGCCTTCTTTACCTTCCCTCCCCTCTAGCTATATGCCCAAGACAAAACCTCTGTTCTACAGCTGAACAAGTACCAGCAGTGGGACTCATTTGTCCTGAGTATTGCTAGGTCCTCTGATGGTTCTAAGATGTCTTTGGTTGACTGGGCAGGTGGGCAAGACTGGCCCTGTGGAGGCCTGCACACAACTGCATGGGTCATTCGGTTGATCATGTCACACGGTTCTCCTAGGCAGAGGAGATTGGCCACCAATGTTTAATGAGCTCCTTCTGTGTGTCTAGAACTGAACTAGGCATTCTGGAAAGGGGGAGGAAAGTATGAGGCCTGAGTCCTGCCTTTGTAAGCTCTAAAGTGTTTGGCGAGGTGCAGTACAGTGTGGGGAGTGGGACATTCGAGGGACCACAGGAGTGGTGGAATCCAGGGCTGGGCATATCCCACCTCCTCTGCCTCACCACCCCAGATCTTGGTAGGGAAGAAACTGCCTGGGGACAGGAATGAGTGGGCAGGTACTGGGAACACTCCAGATAAAGAGGAACTAAGGCAAGGCCAAAGTGTGGGCCCAGTGTCCTAGTCCCACAGTGTTTATTTCTCAGACCTAGCCCAGCCCAGGGCCCAGCACTCTGCCTGACACACCTTTTGGCCCCAAGCAATAGCAGGTGCAATGCTTCTTGTCCTCCCCATGAAGTGGTGGGAAGAAGAGAGGGTGGTGGAGCATGGGCCAGTGGGTCACTGGAGGCTGGGACTCATGGGGGGACCGTAGCCAGGTTGCTGGGAAAGTAAGGCTCAACTCTGGCAAAGTCCACCCTCAGCCCTCTAGCTCCATGTCAAAGTGCACACACACCTCCTGGCTCCAGGCCTTTGCCCGCCCCATCCTGCACCCCAGCCAGTCTCCTTATTTCCCCTTGCCCAGAACAAGGACCTCACTACCCACCCTCCTACTAGCTCCCAAGGGGGGGGTGGTGTTGGCAAATGGCTCTTGGCTCACAAGTGGTGAGCTGCCGAATCTGTGAATCAAGCCTCTCCCCCACAGCTACTGTTAGTCTTTTGTGTGTGTTTGTTTTTGAAGAAAGAATTTGGGATGGGGCAGCAAAAGATAATGTGAAACTGTAAACGGACTCTTTCTGGTAAAGGGGCTGGTAGAACCCCCTGCTGCCTGACTTCTGAGGTTCTACTGCCCCCTCCACCCTGAGTATTTTGTTGTTTTTAATAAACTGCTGTTTTTACATACCTGGAATCTGTTGTTGGCTTCTGAGCCAGTGGAGAAAAGAGGACATGAAAGAAGCAGGGTCCAATGTCCACCTTCCCCGACTCCCATTGGACCTTTCTCAGTGACCTCAGCCAACGTCATGTGTCAAGAGCCAACCCCCTGTGAAGAGTGGCAGAGGGGCACAGGTGTGGGGGCATCAGTTGCAGGCAACTGGATGCAGCAAAGGGAGATGGTCACTCTCGGCTGCTTCCCCCACACCATGTGAAGAAGGTGATGGGCTGTGCGTCCCCAGGCCCGTTCACCCTCTAGTAGATGTAAGGGAAATAGTCACTCTCGGCCCGCTCCCCCACTGCTGTGGGGCAAATGGGCCAGAGCTTCCCCCACACCATGTGAAGAAGGTGATGGGCTGTGTGTCCCCAGGCCCATTCACCCTCTAGTAGATGCCAGCCTGGGGCTCAGCAGGGGGGCATATTGCATTTTTCTGTGAGCTGTGTTAACTCCATCCTCTCAGTCCTCGCCCCACCTGGCTGGGGTGGCACTGGCTGTCCTGGAATCGTACACACTGTATGTACATACTGGCAATGATACTGAGTGTAATTTATTTTAACATTTTTACAATAAAACATGAGGTGGACAGGCCAGCTTGATGTGTGCTTATGTGGGGGACACAGTGGGAGAGGAGAGTTGGTTTGTGGCATCTTATGAGGGGGGTGGCTGGGAGAATTCATGGAGACATGGAAGGACCAAAACAGTCTGAGGGTCCAAAGGAGAATTTGAGTGGTTTTAGAAGGGAGTAAAGAAAGTGAAGAGGAGTGATGAGGTGGATGATGGCAGGCTATTTAAAATGAAGTGGTCAGGAAAGGCCTCATGAGGGAAGTGACAGTTCACAGGTGTGACCAATGTGAGGGTGGTAGGAGCCATGGTGAAGGAGCATTGTAGAAAAGGTTGAATGATACGGAATCACAGGAGCAAGAGACAAAGTAGGGGTGATGGCCAACTCCTGGCACCAAGCACGGTTCTAAATACTAAACACTCAGCAATAGAGGGATGAACTCACTCTATCTTGCAGTGACCCTATGAGGGGGCTATTAACATCCCCATTTTATAGATGAGGTATCTGAGGTACATTGACTTGAACTAGATCTCACAGTAAATAAACCAAACAGAAGCCTGTTACCATTGAATCAATTCTGACTTCTAGCATCCCTATGGTGGGTTTGAACCTCTAGCCTTCTGGTTAGCAGTCAAGTGCCTTAGGCACTACGCTACCAGAGCTTCTACCAGGGCTCTTAGCAGTTAGTAAATAAAACCAAACCATTGCTTTGAGTCAGTTCTGACTTGGAGCAACCCCATAGGACAGAGTGGAACTGTCCTGCAAGATTTCTTAAGTTATAAATCTTTATAGAAGCAGACTGCCACATCTTTCTCCCATGGAGCAGCTGGTAGGTTCAAATCACAACCTTTTCGTTAACAGCTCAGTGCTTAACCACTGTGCCACCAGAGCTTCTTTTAGTTAGTAAATAATAATCCAGTAACCAAAACCAAACCCACTGTCATCAAGTCTATTCTAACTCATAGCCTATGTTGTTGTTGTCATTGTTATGTGCCGTCGAGTCGGCCCCGACTCATAGTGACCCCTCCTTGGGTTTCCAAGGCAGTATCACTACAGAAGTAGGATTGCCCAACTCATAGCCTATAGGACAGAGTAATCCTGCCCCATAGGATTTTGAAGGCTATAAATCTACAGAGGCAGACTGCCTCATCTTTCTCCTGCAGAGTGGCTGGTGGGTTCAAACTGCTGACCTTTGGGTTAACAGTCAAATGCTTTAACCACTACACCCCCAGAACTCCTTAGTAAGCCAATATCAAAAGCCAAACCCACTGCCATTGAGTTGATTCCAGCTCATAGTGATGACCTCCATTGGGTTTCTGAGGCAGTAAATCTTTTTTTGTTGTTCTGATTTGGGTGAAAGTGTACAGAGCAAATTCATTTTCCATTCAGCAGTACATACACACTTTGTTTCATGATATCAACTGCAATTCCCCACAGTGTAACAGCTCTCTTCCCACTTCCTCAAGACGGTAAATCTTTGTGGAAGTAGATCATCCCCTCTTCCTTCTGCAGAGTGGCTGCTGGGTTTAAACCGCCAGTCTTCTGGTTAGCCAGTCTTCTGGTTAGCAGTCAAATTCAATAAGCACTGCACCACCAGAGCTCTTGTAAAAACCAAACGAAACTCACTGCCATAGAGTCGGATCCAACTCAGCGACCCCTCCTTGGGTTTCCGAGGCGGTATCTCTGGAAGTAGACTGTCCAATCTTCCATCCAAGGAGTGGCTGGTAGGTTTGAACCATCAGCCTTCTGGTTAGCAGTCAATTGCCTTAGGCACTATGCCACCAGAGCTCCCAATTAACTTGACAGCAACTATTTTTGTTTTCTCCATCCAACAGCTATCACTGCAAACAGAGGGTTTTAGTCCAGAGTCAAATCTGACTCCATTTCTTTCCTATGTTCAACTCCTCATGGGCCCCCATTGCTCACCCAGCCCCTGCCTCTCTCTCTAGCCCCATTTTCACCCCTCCCCCACACCTTTTTCTGGGCTCCATCCGTATTGACATTTCTCAAATGAGCCAAGGCTCCCCACCTATGCCCATGCTGCTTGCTCTCCTGGGAGTGCCCTTCTTCCCTTCCTTCTGGTTAAATCCTAAAGCCTCTTGGATTAAACTTGAATATTAGCATCTTTGAGAAGACTTCCAATTACTTCTTTCAGATTCTGGGTCAGGAGCCTCTCCTCTGTGCTCCAGGAAGCTGCCATCATGAGGTCTACAATGTTGTCAAAGTTGACTGTCTCCTGTTCTCAGGCCCTCTATCCTCACCAGAAGCCACAGGAGAGAGCAGGGAGTGGCTTGTTCACCTTTGGATCTCTACCACAGGGCCTGATGTGGAGAAGGGCTCAACTTTCGATGTTTACTGAGTGGAGGGTGAATGAACTGGTGTCCTGGACCCTCCAGTTAATCAGTCAATCCCTCTGAGCAGAGGCCAAACTAAGAGGCATGGGTACTTCCACCAGGACAAGTCCCAACAAAGACAGTTCAATTATCTTGAGAGATCTTGTCGCAGGCTGGTGAGTCACCTCATCTTGTGCCAAGTCACCTGAATCTGGCATGGGTGGGCCAGGCTCTTTTCATCCAGGCAGGCCAGGGCCACAGCACAACTCATGCCTCCGCTCCCTAGGGAGCACCTTCTGTCTGCACCCCCTTTCACATGTCCCAGCATCTCCCTTTCCTCGCCTCTCCTCATCCCCAAGGCAACATTTTATTTTCTGGTAATTGCTCCCTGATGATCCCAGGGAGCTGGGCCTTCCATCCCAGTAGTCCCAAATCTCCATGCTTACCTCAGAAATTCTTCTCCTCACAGTAACCTATCACATGCATCCCAGCCTCCCAGTTTACAAGCCCCTTTCAAATCCATTCTTGTGTAGGATTACTCAACAGCCCTGGGAGGCAGGTGTAACATTTTATAGTCCAATAAGGGGTTTTCTCAGATGTCCTCATTGAGCGCCATGGTTTGGTTTCCCATGAAAGCAAAGCCCCAGGCAAGAGCTGGGCTTGAAGAAGTAGTAGAAATGGATGGGGAGATAAAGATGGTGAAGGAAGAAAAGCCAACAAATGTGCATTTTTGAGCTAGTTTCACTGTGGGCAGCTAGGGCTCAGTTCTGGTGGAGATCCTCTGTAGTATATGCCTCCTAATTGACCCTCTGAAGGACAGGAACCCTCTCCATTTATCTGCTAACTACTACCCTCATTGGTAAAGGATGTCCCCAGGGGTACTAATCCCCCCTTCCTCCTATACATGCTGTGGTAGACTGTATTTCCAAAGAT